TTTTTCAAAGTGATGCACCGATGCACCAATCCATGCATCGATGCACCATGAATTAAATTGAACATCGAATGCATTTCATGCATCGATGCACATACCATACACCGATGCACTGAGGATTTTATGAAAACATCGAATGCATTTAATGCATCGATGCACAAGCCATGCATCGATGCACTCTGGCTATTTTGAAACATCGAATGCACTTGATGCATCGTGCACTCTTAGTGCACCGATGCACTAAGGGTCCAACGGTCAAAATATTTGAATTTTACACTGATGCACCGATGCACCATGGGTATGCATCGATGCACTGACGCTCCCAATTGTTTTTAATTAATTATTTTCACACTTAAACGGCTATATTGACTCCACTAATCATCCCCAACGTTCAGAAGTGATTAAAGGTGTATTTAAGCAAGCTTAGAAGCCATTGATCAATAACAAGAAACATCAAGCAACTAGAATCAAGAGAGAATCAAAGAGAAAGCATCAAACCTCAAGTTTGAGCATTTCAAGCCTATTTTTCATTCAATATTCATTTTGCTTTCAAGAACACTTATTGTGCTCAATTGTATTCATTCTTGAGTGTTCTTTTCTTTGTTCTAGAATTGTGCAAACAATCTACCTTGTGAGGATTTCCTTGTAAGTTTGCAAATTTGTATTGTTCTCTTTGGGAGAGAGTGTTCTCAAGAATTTGGGGTATAATTCTTGAGGGATTGTAAGGTTACTCTTTGTCCTCAAAAGAAAGACAAATTAGTGAATTTGTGGAAAATCCTTAGTGTGGATAGCTAAGGTAGTGGACGTAGACTTTGGTTGAGAAAGTCGAACCACTCTAAATCACTGTGCAATTTCTTTCAATTTTCTGCAAAAGCTTCCACCAAAATTTTTATTGCCAATTCACCCCCTCTTGGCCGATTCCTTCAATCGATTAACTCAACAAAAGGCAATTTAGATGAACTAAAATCTCTTACAAAGAGAGAAGTATTCATACCTGTAGTCCGTACACCAAATGGTGTAAAAACCCGTGGGATATAAATGGGTTTTGTGAGAAAGAAAAATGAAAAAAGGGAAATTATAAGATATAAAGCTCGTTTGGTTGCACAAGGATTTTCACAAAGACTCGGAATAGATTATGAAGAAACATACTCACCGGTTATGGATGCAACTACTTTAGATTTTTTATTATCCTGACAGTAAAAGGACTTATTTTCCACCTAATGGATGTTGTTATAGCCTATTTATATGGGCCTCTTGATAATAATATTTACACGAAATTTCCAGAAGGATTTAGTTTGCCGGAAGCAACTAATTATGATTCTCGGGAAGATTATTCAATCAAATTAAATAAGTCTCTTTATGGATTAAAACAATATAGGCGTACGTGGTATAATCGTCTTAGTAAGTACTTATTGGTGGAAGGTTATAAGAGCGATTCGATTTCCCCATGCAATTTTATTAAGAGATTCAACTTTGGATTTGTCATTATTGTTGTGTACGTTGATGATTTAAATATCATTGAGACTCTTAAAGAGATCTCATTGGAAATTGAATACTTAAATAAATAATTTGAAATGAAAGACCTTGGAAAGACAAGATTTTGTCTTGGATTACATATTAAGCACCTAAAAGATATAATTCTTGTACATCAATCAGCTTACATAGAAAAAGTACTAAAGAAATTCTACATGCATAACGCACATCAGTTGAGTACCCCGATAGTTGTTAGGTTGTTGGATGTAAATAAAGATATTTTTCATCCTCTAGATAAAGATGAAAATCTTCTTGGTCCAGAAGTAGCATATTTAAGTGTTATTGGTGCATTGGTGTATCTTTCTAGTCATACACGACCTGATATATAATTTGTTGTCAATTTATTAGCAATATTTAGCTCATGTCCAACCCGAAGACATTGGAATGGCGTGAAGCATATATTTTGTTATCTTCAAGGTACGAAAGACATGGGATTATTTTTCCCGATTTTATCCAAAACATAATTGGTTGGTTTTGCAGATGCAGGGTACTTATCTGATCCTCATAATGCTCGATCACAAACTGGTTATGTATTTACATATGGTGGTAATGTAATTTCTTGACGCTCTATGAAACAAACAATTACTGCCACTTCCTCTAATTATGTTGAGATTTTGGCTATCCATGAAGTTAGTCGCGAATGTACGTGGCTAAGGTTTGTAATTAATCATATTCAAGAAGAATATGGTTTATGCTCCAGAAGAATAACTCCAACAACCTTATATGAAAATAATACAACCTGCATTACCCAACTCAAAGAATGATACATAAAGGGTGATAAAACAAAACACATCTCACTAAAGTTTTTGTTTTCACTCCTGATCTACAAAAGAATAGACATTAATGTCCAACAAATTCATTCAGGTGAAAATTTGACAGATCTATTTACTAAGGCGTTTCCTACTACTACATTTGAAAAGTTAATTTTCAACATTAGATTATGACGTTTAAGATATCTTTCATGATGCGTTCATGAGGGAGAGCAAATACATGTACTCTTTTTCTCTTATCCATTATTTTGTCCCACTGGGTTTTCCTGGAAAGATTTTTAATGAGATAACATGTCATGCGTATTAAAAGATAATGTACTCTTTTTCCCATCAGGGTTCTCCTAGTAAGGTTTTAACGAGACATATTTTAGTGATAAACATCTAAGAGGAGTTTTATAAATGAATTCATTTAAGTGGATGTTTTTTCTTTCATACTTAATGTATGATAACTTAAGGATTAATTTTTGTAACATATGGTTCTAGTAATCTATGATTTTAGAGCCTATAAAAAGGATGCATGTACAAGCTCTTAAGATATGCGTAATAAAAAGATACTATTCACTCTTATATTGTGTCATACATTTATATAATTTCATAACAGAATTTAATAATATAAATAATACATCACTTAAAATTTAATAATATATAATATAATTTATCAAATTCTAAACAAATTAGATACAAACCCTAAATCCGAGGCGATGGAATCCAAAAAGAGGAGGAGAGTTTGGGTTTGGTAGATTGTTTATAAAAAGAAGGGAGTTAGTTTTGGTTCGTAATTGATGATCGACGAATAATAGTAATAAAAACAAAACTTTCTGCTTCATCTTTGTTTGTTTATCCTTTTTTATGATTTTGGGACCGTAAGTTTATTAAGTTATAAAGTTTCCGAAACTGAAACCTTTTCCTTTTTGCGTTTTAGCTATGATTGAGACGGAGAATACAACAAAGATGATTAGCTGCCTTTTATCCCCCCTTTTCCTATCATTATCTCATCTGCTTTAATGTAAATCATATATAAATAGCTGTATCTTAATTTTAAATTTAATTTTACATATTTAGAGAATAAAAAACATTTTTTTCTTACTTTTATTTAAATATATACCCGAAATTAATGTTTTAGGTGAAATAAAAAATAGAGATAAGCGGGGATTAATTACTTTAATGAATACAGATGAGTTGGATGGGTTAATATGTTGTTGTTATTCTGACGTTTGGGCCCCACTGAGATCTTGCTACCCAACGGTTTCCTTATTACCCCCAGCTTGACTCATATTTACACCTCTGCCATTTTTCGGTTTGTTGTTTCTTTTGTGGCAGAAGTAGAGGTGCACAAAAAATCCGAATATTCGATTTTGGGTAAAAAATATCCGAAACCGAATTTTGAAAAAATCGGTTTTTTTAAACCGGATCGGATATTTAAAAACCGGATAGTATAACCGGTTTGAGAAAAAATTGAACGACCTGTTTTTTTACCGGATTAAAAACCGGTTTTTTTCAAACCGGATAAAAAACCGGTTTTTTATCCGGAAAAATCCGTTTTTTTTTTAAAAACCGGTTTTTTGCAAACCGAAACCGGTTATACCGGTTACACCATCCGACCCTCTAAACCGGTTAGGATCCGAACCGGTTTTTTTAAAATCCGGTTTTTGGGTTGGGAGAAAAAACCGGATCGGTTTTTATCCGATCCGGATCGGATTGAAATCCGGCTTATGTGCATCTCTGGGCAGAAGTGAACTTGTAAATCACCTGCTGAGTTTAGGTGGAATGCAGTATGTGATGTAGGAATGTAATTGAGACGAGATAGATACTGAGTTATTTGAGATTGATTTGGTTAAAAGTTCGATAAATATTTGATTTGAATCGAATTCGAACTCATCTCAAGTTTTTTATGAACCGGAACGAACTAATTGATACTCAACTCGAAAAACTCGTAATCAGCTTAAAAAATAATATATTAAGATTTTATTTTATAAAAAATTTATTAATAATATTAACATTTATGTGTTGATTTTTTTTAAATGCAGTATAATATTTTCATGTATTTAAGGTTCATGTTTGAGTTTGAAACTTTAATTAAGTTAATTTAAGATTTTTTTCTTATAAAGCCTTTTTGAGTTTTTATGAGTTTAAATTTATTATTTCGAGTCGAGCTTGAAAATTTTAGACTCACAAATTTTCAAATCGAATCAAACTTTATTTCAGAGTTTTTATGTCGAGACAAACTTAATAATACTGAAACTCGACTCTACTTACCCCAATAATATGATGTGAAAGGATAAATACAATGAAAAGTTAAAAATGGCAGTGATGTAAATGGAGGGAAGAAGAGGGCGAACGTGGAAGAAGTAGAAAATACCCGGGGCCCACCGCAGAAATATATGTGAGTTTCTTTCGAATGAACATGAGAACAAAAGAGCTTAGCTTCCGTTTTTTGTATGGAAGCGGAATAACGGCATTGTCTCATGATTCTATCTTGTTCTTTTGCTCTCAAAAACTCATCCATCATCTTCTTCACCTCTTTACGCTTTTTCCCACTTCCCTTTCCTCTCCTCCGCATTATAAATATATTTGAATTCACTTCTATCTCTGAAATAAAAAAAATTCATTTTTTAATTTCATCCTAAACCGCTTTTTCTTTGCCTTCTTTTCCACCTGAATTGACTGCTGTTTCGTTGAAGAGAAGAAGTTTGGGTGATGATGAGATCATACAATTCAAGATCAGATAACCCAAACATGGAGACGGAGACGGTGGTCGTTGCGGAGGTGGGTGGTCTGAAGAGGAGTGGGAAAAGAGGGTCGAAACAAGGGAGGCCTAACGGAGGCGCCGGAGATCACGGTGGTGGTCAGTCGGAACATGAGATTCATATACGGACTGAGAGAGAAAGGAGGAAGAAGATGAGGAATATGTTCTCTAGTCTTCATGCTTTGCTTCCTCAACTTCCTGCTAAGGTAATTAATATGCATATGTAAGAAAAAAAATTATTTAGGGTTTATGGTAGAAAAATGAAGAAGAAGAAGAAGAGATTATTTGTTTTTCATGGTATTTGTATGACTGTATCCATTATCCAATCTTCACCTCTTGATTGAAACAGTGCTTCAATGAAAAAAGAAAACATATGATTTCTGGGCATTGCAGATGTTTAGCTTCAATTTACTTAGGATTCTTCCAAAAGAAACTTTCAAGATTCTATAGCACATTTCAGTTACATTTGAGTTGTTTTTTTTTTTTTTGTCATGATGTAGCAGAGATGAAAATGTTTACGTTTACTCTTGAATCTTGCACAGGCAGACAAGTCCACCATTGTCGACGAGGCCGTTACATACATCAAAAACCTTCAGCAGATTCTCCAGACACTAGAAAAACAGAAGCTCGAGAAGCTAAGGAGTTCGACGACGGCGGTCGATTACGACCGGTCATCGATAATCTCATCGCAGGTACAAGTGCCTGAGTCGAGGGAAGCCTTCCTGACAGATAATCAGGGACCAACAAATGAGTATCCTTTGACAATCGACGCGCCTCAAACATTTCCAGCTCAGATGTCACCAGCTTGCTTTCAGATATGGTTTTCCTCCAATGTAGTCATAAGTATGTGTGGCGACGATGCACAAATCAATGTCTGTTCACCGAGGAAGCCGGGGACGTTAGCCACCATCTTGTACATACTTGAAAAGCATCGATTGGAGGTGGTTTCGGCTCAAGTCTCATCGGATCAGTATCGGAGCATGTACATGATCCATGTCCATGTAAGTACACACTTCAAGAAAACTAGGCCTCTTAAATTTTTTTATCAGATTTATGACAATGCTCATGCCATGTGGCGTTCTCATGTGGATCAGGCCGATGGAGTATCGGAACAATTTCCGGCAGCACTTTCGATAGAGGAGACGTTTAAGCTGGCTGCAGGAGAGATGAACTTGTGCCTGTTTTCAGGTTAATGATAATAGTAGCAAATCAACATGAAGGTTGGCGAGTAGTTTCCTATAGGGTTGAAATCCTAGTTAATTAGCGTTTTCCCTAGAGGAAGTTGATGAAAGTGACTGTCTGCCGGTGAAGCAAATCCATTGCTATGAATGTCCAAACTGAAGTTCTGATGATGTAAATGTGCAGAAGACGGAAAGCAGTATACAAAATTTGCTTTACCCTACTGTTTTATCGCCTTCATTTCTTTGCTTTCTCTTTTCCTTTGCTGCACAATAGCCTCATGATTCATGAAATCTTATATTGCTAATTAAATCCGAACTTAAATTTTTTGTCAACCGAGTTGAATGAAAATAAATTTTAAACGAATTAAATTAAATAATTTTAAAATTTGAAATAAATATTTAATTTTAACTGCTTTAACCTGGGCCAGTCAACGTCATGCATGCAACTCTTTAGAGGATGAATTTGAATAGATGGGCTTCTGCCTTCGTTTGCCTTGAGGTGATATGGACCTTCCCCTTGGTTCCAAGCCTTTCTTTAAGAAGTAGGCCACATCAGAGAAACATATATGCGGTTAGGTATTGGGTTTTATTTTTTTGGCCCAATACTGGTGTACGGTTTAATACCTTCATTTATGGTCTTTTTAGTAGATCTAAAGTAGTAATTTAAGAGTACTAACCTAGTGACTTTGTGGTAAAGAAATTATTGTTATTCTTTGAGGCCCCAAGTTTGAGCACCAGGAATAACAAATGTGTGAGCGTTCAATGTCAAATAATTGAGAGTTATCTTTGAAACAATGTGATTTATTAATTAATAATATTTGAGCACATTTTTCCCTTCCTCTTCCAAACGTTAACTTCGGTTTGGTTCTGGTATGAGGGGGTTTTAACGAGACCCCGACTTTTATCAAACAAATATTGTTGTTAATCTTATTTTTATAAGAGGATATAAATAGTTTAAGCATCACTTTAAAAACAAGTGTTTCAACCTCACCTCGAATTCACGTTCTTGTCCAATGTTTTTCCATTATAGCTTCCATTTTGAGAACTGGCATCCATCTGTTTAGTTTCCTTAATTCTGTTCATTAATGTTGATAGATTGATAGCGGTTTATTCCTTCTGCTTTTACCGAAGAGTTATAGTCAATAATTTTGATAAACATAAAGAGAGAGTGCATAGAGAGATCAAGAAAGAGAGTTCATGATCCTTTCTCCACTCATCTATGGTGGTTATATACTAACTTTTAGTTTTGATGTCAAGCGCATGATCATGATGTTTATTTGTACCGTCCAATATATATGATTGTCAATAACAAATTTAACTGTGAGTTGTCAATCGTCATGTCAAAAAATCAACTAACCAAAAGATGTGGAATTTCAAAAACTTCAATCAATGAAGAAACTTCTTATAAACTTTTAATAGATGAAAGGAGGACAGCGAATGTATATCTTGTAGAAAAAGAAATTAAAGGAGACACAACAACTAAATGTTTGGTCTCCGGTAATGACCGCCCAATCTTGTTTTGACCTAGTCGAAGAGCTGGTGAGATTGGGAAGCTAATTTGATTAGCAATGCAATATGAACAACATCAACAGAATAAGTTTAGCAGCAATGTGTCCCACCTTCCAGGTAGTTTATTTGCACTTGATATATAATAGATAATATGGATATGAATAATACATGGTTGGGGACTGATTGAGAATGTTTATAGAATTGTTTTTGATCCAAAATTTCATTTATAACGCATAAGCATTCACAAATAATTTATTTTCAACCAAAAATTTATATTTAAAGAGTGATTATCGACTCAAACTAAAATATTTAGATTAATAAATTATGAATGAGCGCAAATATTGTTTGTTAAGAGATTCAAATTATTGACAATTTTTATTTTGCTGGAAAAAATGGAAACCATGACAGACCACAAGCATTCATGACATGAAAAAAAAGGGGAATACAGAATAATTTTTAAATTATGAATGAACGCAAAGTTCGAGTAATTGTATTCGTAGAGTATATACGAATTATAAATGATTAAAAAAGATTTTAAATAACCTTATAATCATTTAAAACTAATAAAAATAGACCAGTCTCCAATTATTTCACGACCTTTAACCAGAGTAATCTATATAACTTCTCCACATTTATAATCTTGGTCATGCAGAAGGGACATACAGATTAGCCAAACAAAACTCTCATCTTATAACCTCCATTAATATCACTCAGCCAGTTCCTCGTGGGATCGCATTTTCTCTCGTGACCCCTCCTTTATAACCTCCATTTCATTCCCTCTATTTTATATCACTCTTCTGCATATATCACATACACATAAATATAAACGTAAACGATCATGTATATTTACTTCTTTCGATGTTTATCGTGATTATAAATATAATAATTCATCGTACACAAAGGATCGAAGTTAACGAAATAACTATCGTAATTTCAATCTCTCCCCCACAGACATAAGGAAAGAAAGAAGTTAAGAGCTTGTCGTTGTCGTATACAAAACATGTTTTGATTTTTTCTTTTCAAATAAACTAATACAGCCTTTACCTAATGTTATTTCCATGGGGGGTTTTTCTATCCGTATTGGCTCTATGTTTTAAGCTGTCTGTCATTGAAATTCCATTTTCAAAGCTATGTTTTAATTATTTTGGAAAAGATTTAGGCATAGTTCATGTGTGATAGGGTAAGGTGTGATGGAGTGGCGGTTAATTTTGTGTGTGTGTTTTATAGAAGCACGTTAATTTTATTAAGAATAGAAAATATCTGAATTATAACAAATGTTTATAACTATGATTTTAAACTAAATACATAGTAAATATATTTTTCTAAATACGAGAAAAGTAGTCACTTTAAGATCACGAGGATCATACAAGAAAAATGTGATGAAGCAATTAAAAGGCCACCGATAAATCATAAATCAAAATTGAGCGATGTGAAAATGCTATCCATGAAGGCAAGTCGCTATCCATATCCAATTTGAGGGTCAAAAGCAGGGAATGTCAGCATGCTAACAAATAAAGTGTCATCTTGATCAGTCGTGATAATGTCAAATCCAACCTTAAAAAAATAATATACGAAAATAACGGTCAAACAACTAAAAATATGTCATGAAGGCAAAAGAAGATGTGTCATAAAGGCATCATAATTAAAAATAAAAAACAAAAAAATAAAGATACACTATAATAAAGCAAAGGAAAAATAATGAATATCATCGGTTGGCGATCAACAAAGACGGAAGCAGGATTTTATGTTAGATGGGGTAAACTTGAACTTATAAAATTTCAAGGGGGCGAATTAAATTTTAGGGAGGGTGAAAAAAATTTCAATAAAAAATATAAAATATATGATAATTTTAAATTTTTAGTGAGAGAGATCCCCCAGTCTAGGTTGATCCTTGGCGATCAGCACCAAAATTGATAATGATGTCGATCACAAAGATAAAAAAACAAAAGAGATTAACAACGACTAAAGAAAAAGAGAGAAAAATAGGACAAACCCTTAGTCTCTAATTTTTGTGTTGAATATAAAGGGTTTTGTTTCATTTTATTAAAAATATGAGTTCAAATATTAAGGTGTCGTTTGGTTCACTGGAATGTTTATGAGGGAATTAGAATATGTGAAGAAATTGGAATCTGAATCTGAAACCTGTTTGGTTGTCAGGAAATTGAATTGGAATCAAATTCCATATTCTGTTTGGTTAGTAGACATGTTAAATGAATTTGATTTTAGTAATATAAAATGACAGAATTGTCCTTCTTATATTTTTGCTTAATTTTAGTTTGTTTTATAACTTACATGTAGCAATATATTATAAAAATTTTAAAAATATTAAATTTTCGTTTTATTTATTGATTATTCATTTCAATAAATTATAAAAATCATACTAATAAACATAATAAGTTAAAATCATCCCATTTAGGGATGGTCATGGGTCGGGTTGGGTCGGGTTTTTGGTCCACCTGACCCGACCCGAGAACAAGGGAACCTCCACCCGACCCGACCCGAAATAATAAAAAAATTATTTTTATTCAATAAAAACAGTGACTTAATTGAAAAAAACATATATAGAGGGGTATTATTGTAATTATTCCTAAATATATAAGGTAAAATTATATATTTTTTCGGGTCGGGTCGGATATTTTTCACCCTAAACCCGAACCCGACCCGACCTGGATATCACACTTAAAAAATCCCGACCCAACCCGAACCCGAATTTTTTTAAAAAAATCCGACCCGAATACCAAAAGATTAATGAGGGTAGTATGGTCAAATTTCACATTCCCTCTTCCAAATGATTTCAATTTCATCATGTTATGGATAGAATTTACTTTCCCTCCCTTGATGGAATTGGATTTCAATTCCCCCTTTGAAAACTTGAACCAAACATGAGAAAGTGGTAGAATTAGATTTCAATTCCTCCTAATTCCAAGAAATTCCAGCGAATCAAACGCCACCTAAGGGTTTGAACTTGAATTAAATTAATTCAATTTGAGTATTGATGAAATTAAATTTGATTACTATCTATTTAGTCTTATAACTCTTATCAATGTCACTAAAAGTCATTTTCAATTGTTGTGATTGTCGTAACCGGTTTTCGCCCGGATACGAAATTTTTACTTGGCGGGAAAAGTGATGTGAATAAATGTTTTTTTAAAATGTTTTGAGAGTCGCCATCGGCCTTTTGGGTTAGGTAGGTCGAATACCTAAAAATTATCTTTTAAAAGAGTTTTTAAGAAAATATCATTTAAAAGATAAATCGGTCTGTGGTTAACCAAAAAATTCGTTCTTTTTAATAGATAAATAAGGGATTCATGGTCGGTTACGTTTGGGGAAGGATTAGTACCCCTCACAACGCCCAAAATTGGTACTTATTAATTATAAATTGTCACTTTTATTGGAAATTTAAAAATTCAAAAATATATTTAATTCATAATCTTGTTATTTCAAATTTATTAATATAATTTTAAGAAAATATATTAATGTCTACATTTATTTTTATTTTTATAAATAAGATATTTATTTACTTAGAAATATCAGAAAAGAACTTCTAGGTCCAAAACAAACAACCCATTTCTTAATATTAAAAAATAAATAAATATTAATAAAACGTTAAAATA